GTTTCCCTTATTTTGCCAGCCGCGGCTGCGGGGCCGTAGCCTATTTCTTAATTGCTGGTGGTCCTTAGGCGGCGGCCGGGCACGCGCCCGCTGCGGTGGGCTCTGGGGGCTGAGGGAAGCGGGGGGGGAGCGCCGTCCCCGGCGAGCGATGCCTTGAAGGTGGTTGCCTTGAAGGCAGCGCCAAACTGCCTTTGCCCGTGCGTTCTTTTAGGCAGGTTACCTGGCGCCGGCAAACTCTGCCGGGCGAGCCGGATCCCGCGGGCCCTTTTCAAACCCATCCGTGAGACCGTCCATGTCGAAAGGCGTTGGGCAACAGTCAAAGCAACTTACCCGCCCGCTCCCCAAAGTCTGAGTCTGAGGCGGTTTGTGTGCAGGCGAGGTCTCACGTGGCTTTTTTGTGGTGTTTGCTTTCTAATAGGTGGTGAAAATTACCATTTGGGGAGGACTTGTGGGATCCGATTGTATGTATGGAGCTGCTAAACAGCATCTACGCTAGACTGGGATCTCTGACTCCCTGCTGGAGCACTTCTGGTGCGGGTGGCAGCCGCGCCGCGCTGGCTACAGGCTCCTCTCCGCTCCAGTGCCCCGTGGGGAGGTGGTCCGGGGGGGGATCCGTGCCCCACGCCGAGGTCCCGGCCCCCCCTCCCCGAGCTGGCTGGCGGCGGGGGCAGGATGTGCCGGGGGCAGCACCGTGTTGCTCATCGGCCGGTGGCTTTCGCTGACCTCTTTCTGCCGTGCATTTGCTGCTGTGGTTTTGCTTTCCGACCCTGAAGCGAGCACGGCGGGGCCCGGAGCAGAGTCGTTCCCGGCTGCGGTGAGCTGGGGGCCGGGGCAGCTGCCGGGGAGGGGCACCGCCACGGTGCGCTACGGTACGGCAGGATGCTCGGCTGCCCGGCACGATGGCAGGTGACAGATGGAGCCTGAACCCATCCGGAGCCGACACCGCTCTTTCTGCAAGGAGCTGAATGAGCCGCGGCGTTCCCTGCCTGTTTACATCGCAGGAGCGAGTGTATGCATATGGCGGGGGTGTTTTGTTTCACACACACATGCCTATAGAAGTGTAAATATATATGTTTATAGTCTCGGAGCCTCCTGAGTGTTGTTCCTGCTTTCATTAGTATGGGAAACGCACGCAGGGAAGAGCAGAGCGGAGGGCTGGGCTGGCTTGTTGCCGG